GAAAAAGAGTTGCCAGGTTTTTACAACAAAACCCGCCCAATTGCTACTCAAAACTAGCCCAAAACTAGCCCAAACTGTCCGCGTTTCGAGGGGTCCCCCGGTAAAAAATAATCGCGTTCCAGGGGTTAAAATACACGTTATTGGGTATCGCTTCAACCCGCAGACATGAAAAACAACCCGCGGCAACAGTGTTAAAGTAGCCCAATTCCACGGGAAAAACGTGGACTTGGCAACACTGTGACGATAGTAATGTCTACAACGGACGCGACTGCTGTCGCGGCGCAACCACAACAGCTTGAAGTTGTCTAATTTGGCACGGTCTCTCTGCTGCACTAATAGTAGTAAGGCTTTCCTCTATGTATACATATCCTTACAAGTGCAATTTTAGCTGTATTATTTGTGTCCCCTTCAAAAATTGCTCTGGTGAAATTTTATGTTTATCGTCCCCCCCAACTGTTAAACTAAATTTACACCCTGTTCATAGCCCTAGTTTACACACATTTTTGAACATCTAAATCTTTGCACACCAATATCCATGCATATTAAAACAGTCTTTCAGGTCTCTCAGGTTCTGTGACTCACTGTTTCTGTCAAATCAAATTGGTGTGTGCAGGGTTTGTTTTTGTGGATCCATTTTGTCCCAAAAAGCCTTGAATCCTGGGTCCTGTTTTTTCTCATTCTATTTCAGGAATAACATCTTTTATTATTAATAATACTCATTTACTGACATGTGTACACACACGGTCAGCGGATTATTGGTATTTGTGGACAGCCTTTCTTCCGCCCCTTTATGTACATTTAATATACTTGCATCGTCTGAAGCCAGTGGGCTGTGTGTCTCTGACTGTGTTTGAAATAAAAGACTAGCATACTACCTACTGTTTTTATAAAAGAAATAAAATCTAATAAAAACTAGTATGTGAAGTTGGGAACAGCTGGGTTCTGGATGTAAAAATCCCATTCACTTTCTCTATAGGGGGATTGATTTAAACAATAATTTAAACTATTAAAGACAGACCTACTGTGAGTTACGAGGTTGTTGATTGATGGTAAATGCTTTTGTTGAAGCCATCTGCCCACATTATTTCAACTTATTTTTAAAATAGTTTGGTTTACAGCAGAACTCATGGTGAAAACTACATTACCCTTGATTCTGCAAAGAAATCTCAACCAGTCAGAGAATTATGCTGCATTCACTCCATAATTACCGTAATTCCGAGATGATAACACGTGACGTTCAACTTGGTGCTGTTCACATCCTCGGACTGGGGATTATCCGTTTCTATAGCGATAGTCAACAAAATGAACCCGCTTGAATGTTACTGCCAGCTGTAAAACACAATACAAGTAACAGTTGCTATGCCAATGCGTTATTATTACACTGGTTATTTATTACATTATTTATTGGTTATATTTTCAATCCAATTTTTGTAAAAATGTCTTGGCAGTCCAATCAGTTTCAACTATTCCAGTAATTTAGTGTTAATGTTTAAATTTGTTTTAAATCTGTTAGATTTTTTTTTTTTTTTTGAATACATAGAGAATCTTCTGCAGAATGTTTTCATCCACACATACACACACACACACATATAAAGCTCTAACATGTTCTTCTTTGCGGTCGCTCCTTCCTGTCACTCCTTTCGCTTTCCACTCACCTTCACTCCTCTCTTCACCACTCCTCCTCTCCTCTCCTTGTCTTTTGATGCAGACCATCATAATAGCTCTCATGCAAAGTTATAAAAAAAAGGGAAAATGCTGTTTTTTACTCCTCATTGGTTTTGAGGGCTATTTGTCTTGGTATTTCTGTCAGAGAATAATCTTAAAGGGGTCATATGATGCTGCTAAAAATAACATTATTATGTGTATTTCATGTAATGAAATGTGTTTATGCGGTTTAAGGTTAAAAAAACACATTTTCCACATACTGTACATTATTGTTTCTCCTCTATGCCCCGCCTTTCTGAAACGCGTCGATTTTTACAAAGCTCATCGGTCTGAAAAAGCGAGGTGTGCTCTGATTGGCCAGCTATCCAGTGCGTTGTGATTGGCCGAATTCCTCAAGCGTGTGACGGAAATGTTACGTCCTTTACCATATTGTGATGCCTGCAGCAACCACATGTGATGACCCCGGGCTGGACTCCGCTTCGTCCAAGATGAAAGCCGATCCGGCGATCCACAGCACGACGTTGAAGTATTTCCTCAGCGACCATCACGGATCAGCTCCAGTCATGACGAAGCGATATCGTCCTCTTTTGGAAGAATTGACATTTTGTCATCGTTTACTCGCCCTGAGGGTGAAAAAATGATAATAGAATGTTAAAGTTTAAGTAAAGTGTTACTATAATTCCTTGTAAGTAGGTTAGAAGTCAGGTGGCGTGATAGAAAGTGATGTCGTCACTTTAGTGAGTAACTTCCTATGATGACAATAGTAAGAAGACTACTCTCAGGCCCTTCCTCCCTCTCTTCCTTTAGTGGCTTCTCCAGACCCTCCAATGTAGCTCCTACTCGTGTGGTGCTGCTCTCTACCTCCTTCTCTACTCTTCCTCCTCCTCCTCTTCCTCCCTCCACGCAGCTGTCTCCCAGGTACAGGCATGCCTGCGTTTCTCCACTAACCCTCCTACCTTGCTGCTGCCTTTCTCTTCATCTTCCTTCCTCTCGTTTGTCCTGTCTGTCTCGCCACTCCATTTCCTAAGAGAGGCCGTGTTTACACCTGCTATTAACATCCTTAACAGGTGGTCAGCTGAGACTGATTGCATGACCATTTTGTTATTTTGGGAGGAAGTCAACAAATGCAACTTTTGTGTGATGAACTATTGATGATCTATTAATGTCAGGCATAACAGAGATGTTTTGAGGACTTTGTATGGGGTTTTTCCATTTAATCCGATCAAATATTTTCTTTTAAAGCCACTCGGAGCAAAGTTCAAAACTCTTTTTGTAACAAAGGGATGATCGCTAGCTAAGTGGATGGTCTTTGCTGTCAAATCAGGATGGACTACTGTTTACAGCCTTGATCTTAGGAACGTGACATATAATTGAACATCATTTTAAAATTCATAATATTTGTATTAATAAAAATATTTTTTATATTATTATTATTGTATTGTTTTATATTATTTTATATTACTATATTAACTTCTGCTAATTCAGTGTAATGAAAGTGAATGAGAACTGCCCAAAACTCAGAAAATGAAAAAAAAAAAAAAAAAACGCACCATAAAAATGCATATGGCAGATGCTTTTATCCAAAGTGACTTGCATTGCATTGAAGGTTTACATTTTTTATTTAATTTACTAATTTTTGTACTTAATTTAAAATAAAAACCTTAGGAAAGGTGATAAACAATTATGTAATAACAACAATAATAATAATGCATTATATAAACATAATAATAATAATGCATTATATAATTTTTTTTTATGCATTTGGCAGATGCTTTTATCCAAAGCAGCTTACATTACATTAAATGTGTATATTTTGTCGTCAGTTCATGCATTTCCTGAGAGTCAAACCTATGAACTTGCGTTGAAAAACATTTTGGACCCCGTTTACACCTTTATTAATCATGGTCCAAAAGATGTGAGGTGTAAACATGGTCGGAGAGCTCAAATCCCAGCAGTCTGTTTGTAGTCTCTCCTACCTGCATGTGTCTTTCTCTGTCCATCTTACTCACCTTTTTAGAGTAGATTGTGAATGCTCTAATCAGATGCCTGCCAGCACACACTCATAAAAGTTGAAAGTCTGTTTGGTGTGCGTCCTCTTTCTACTCAAACAACAGCACCTGCTCTATAACATGAAGTCTCCAAAACCTTGTCAGTGTCTCCTTTTGAGTGCTTTTCCACCCCTGCTGTGTGTGTGTGTGTGTGTGTGTGTGTGTGTGTGTGTGTCTCTCTATTCTCTAATCCCTCCCGTGGTGCATGTCTTTCCCCAATGTCTCCGTGTCACACTAATCCACGACGTAAAATCGCCCAAATGCCATCAGATCCTGCGGCGGCCTGATTCTTCTCACACTCACGCTATGACTATAGTCAGAGCAGCGGTTCACCAGGAAATCTCTACATTTACTCACCGTGAACTACAAACCTGAGATAAAACGTCAAGCATACTTTTAAACGAATGATTTGAACTGAAAAGTGAGTCTTAAAGGGATAGTTCACCCCAAAATGAAAATTAGCACTTTATGACTTTTGTACAATCACAGCCTTTCTTTTCAGTGTAATGAATGTGAATGACCCAGAAGAGCACCATAAAAGTGATCCATATGACGATGGTTTGGTCTTCTGATGCAATATGATTGTATAAGGAACAGATCAAAGTTGTTATTCACTGAAAATCTAGCACAATCATGAGAGTTCATAAGAGAAGTAGCAATGATTCACTCATGAATCAGACAAAACCTGTCATAATGATTCATTTTTCTGAATCAGATTGATCTGGTTCTCAAGACCAACTCACTGGAGGGAACAGTTATTTGTAAATCAAGATTTCAGTTTGGTCTGTTCACCAGACAAACCTATCATATCACTTCAAAACACTTAAAATGTAGTTCATGAATTATACCGACCACTTTTATGGTGTTTTTATGGAATTAACCTTTAAAGTGTATCTTTAAAGTGCTTAAAAATTCTCCATTTGTAAAAAAAGTCATATATAATCATGACAGATTGTTCATTATTGGGTGAACTAATTCTTTAAACAAACAATTTTGGACCCCGCAATTTACAAGTAATAAGCCATTTTTCATCTCTAGGGAAGTACAAAATTGTTGTCTTAAGCAAGTTCACATTCAAAGTTACATTTTTGTTTCGATGGCAGTACAGACATGTTCGTAAATAACTTTATTACAAGTTGTCATTTTAAGTGCTGTTTTGTAATTTCCTTACAGCCGGTAGCGGCTGTGTGCTGAAGTTTTATTTTTTTTAGCGCAAGTTGTTTTATGGTCGTTTTATGCTTGGTTTTTAATGACTTGTCATTTCTTGTTGTTTTGTTTTCCTCACAGACAGTGTGGCTACAGTAAAGCCAGCCAGGAGGGGGATGATGAACTCTACTTCCAGTGTGAGTACCACGTTGTGTTTCCACGCATACATGTGCATCCATTCCACAAATCAATTGGACTGTCAGGTTTGTTTCTGAAGGTGGTAATGGATATAGCTTGTCAGAGACTGAGAGCTTAGGTGGAAGAGAAAGGGAAAAAACAGAGTGGAAAATAGAGTGATCAGTGATAAAGAGAGATTAGGGACATATAAAGTGGCACTGCATTAACGTCTAAGTCCATGTACGTGCCTTTACACCAGCAAGCCTAATGCTCCAGTCCATTAGCATGTTTCAGACGCCCTCTGTGATGATAAGAGGGGGAAGGGCATTACCAGTCTTTGAACAAAGAAAGATGCCATAGTACTGCTGCACCCAGTGTTGAAGAACATTGCAAGGCATACACCGTTACTTTTTTATGGATAACATGTTAAGTTACTTTTGCATTACTTTTTATCATTGCCAGTTTACTGAGACTCTCTGATCTCCAGAATGGAAGCTCTATGGATAGATTATGAGCATTTTTTCTACATTGAAAGTGGGAAAAGCAGATGTATATTAGAGCTTTTATGTCTCCTCTTCACTGTCTTTATTTTTTTTTTTTTAAAGTGGCAAAAAGCCCAAAAAATCAAATTAATTCATTAAAAAAAAACAGCTGTACAATGCTGGTGATGCCCAGTTATCTCTCTTTCTCTGCCGTTTTCCCTCAAACCTTTCTAAACTCTAGCCAGATGTTAGCGTTCTATTTCACGTACATTAATATTCATGTGTGTGCGTGCATGCATGTGATGTGTGTGTAAGCATGTCAGAGCAGCAGTAGTTTGGTGAGTAATGAGCGTCTGTGCAGAGCAGTCGTGCAGCTGATGCATTAAATCTGCTGAAACAATGAACACTGGCGAGCTTCATACACTTTTGAGCTGGTTTGTGCCAAGTCTTACAGCATATCTGTACAGTATATGAAACTTATATTTGCATGTCTTCATTAACCTCTTATATCCTGATCTATAGTATTTAACATGCAAATATGCACATTATGCCAGGATGGACACGCATGCAGGAGGAAGATTGCCATAAGGATGTATGGAAGAGACACAGATTTGTTTATATCTTTCACGTTGCATATGATAAATATTTATTTTGTTGTGAATTAACACTTTCCTCTATCAAAGCCTGGTTTCTGAAGAAATCGTGATGATTCAAGGCTTATGCAATTAAGCATTTAGTAAGAATATATATATATATAAAAACGTCATATAGACTAGATTATATATAGCTTGCATATGGATAGAGTAGATTAAACAGTATATGAATAATAAATTGTAAAGAATTCCAAAGAGTGTATATAGTGTATGTATGTATATAGACCAATATAACCTAGATAAAATAACAATTATGTGTAATTGTGTTAATATATTAAATTTTTAATCTAATTAATCACACCCTTTTTCTGTGATTAATCGCGATTAATCGCACACTTCATTAAATTAAGCATAGACCATTTATCTTGTTTCAAATGTTTTTGTCATCATTTGCTATATCCAGCAAAGTAAACCAAAAGATTGAAGGGTGATTCTCAAAAATCTGTATTTTCTGCAAGCTTTTTTCAAGATAACTTTAGATACTCTATAACTTAGATACTTAGAAACTCCAAAAGGACACCAAATAACCAAATGATATAAGGAGCCCATATAACATATGAAAGAAAAAAAAATCTGAATTTTATAGTATGTGTACAGTGCAACAGCAAATAGCTTTTTTACATTTTAGAGAAGTCAAGTTGCGATACCGAACAGGACCACGTGGAGATGCCCAAAAAAAAACTAAACCAACGGCCTGCTGACTGCATATAGTCAGAATAACTAAACACAGCAACATAAACATGACAAATAAAAACATTATCGTGAATGTGTGTGGAAACAACGTGAATGTACGGAAATGTCTGTGCAGCGAAACACACTGGAATGAATAATTCACTGAAAAAACAAAGAAAGCCTCTGTTCTCTCTGCAATCTCTGATGTAATCAGCCTGGTGTCCTTTATATTAGCGCTGTTTTGGACGGATTGTTTGAATGCATTCACTTACTGGATCATTGGACTGAAAACTTTCCCAGAGTTTAGCAGCTTAAAATGATCTGATCGCAAGCAGAGAAGCAAAATTGGGTTAAAGGATTAGAATAGAAATTGTGAAATTGTTTGAACACGTTAAGGATTGTAAAATTAATTGCATGCACGTTGACAGCCCTAGTTTTTATGTAATACATTTATGTGCTGCTCCTCTAAGGACAGGTATGTTTGAAGTTGATCAGCATTAATTGCTGGTTTTGGCTCCATAGATTTCTTAAAAGAGCAGCATAAAAAATTTAATGAAACTGGTATGTAATACAAGAATTAGAAAAAAACAATAATAATTTTAGAAAATGTAATGTGTAAATTAATGAAAACACACAAAAAGATGTTTATATTGTGTTATATAACACAATCTTGTGCTTTCTGGAAACCAGGCCAGATGTTCCCTGTTCAAGGAAGAATTTAGGGAATGCCTCAAATCCTTCACGTTCCAGCAACAGAATGAAATTTCCAACAAGAACCATTCATGGAAAACAAGGAGAGTACAAATAGTACAAAAAGAGTATAAATTCAGTTTTTTCCCCACTGGAAAACTCCTTAATATCACCATGAGCACAGTGCTCTGTCACACAGTCTCATACAGAATAATTTCTCTCACATTTCACAAAATTAAATCCCATCAGCATCATCACAGATATTCTCTCGCTCTCGTTTCGCCCCGGGCTCAGTTCTGGTTGACCCATCGCGCGTGATCTCTGTGTCTCCCACCGTCATTTGTTTTACAGATTTGTTCTTCCATCTGTTATACAACTAGCCCTATAAGCGCACCCTCTTTTCGATGCGTGTTCTGTTTGTTTTATATGCATATTTTTGGATGACCTAGAAACAATGGTAGGGATCAGTGCTTTAGCTGTCATTATGAAATCACTGAGGCCTACTTTGTTTGTGTGTGTATGTAGAACCGGCGACTGTGGATTTAATGCTTTAGATATGCAAACTTGTATGCATATAAATGGTTTGTGGTTGTCAGTGTATGGGGATTTACATAGCTACTATATACGTTTGGGACACAATTGTCCGCAGAACTAAATCTAATAAGGCATTCCTTTGGGGAATGTCTTCAAAGGTACAAAGGGTAATTTAAGTGTATAAATTAAATGTGTATGCGTATACATACTTCTATTTAATTTTTTCCCTGTATAGCGTTTCTTTGATTTTGTTCATATTATGTTTTTTTTTTTCTTCTCACATTTAGATAACTAGAAGAGTCGTTCGTGTGCCTGGGAATTTCTGTTCAAAAACGTCTGTTCATATACAGTCAGTTATGCAAATTATTATAAACTTAATTATAGTCTAAATGACTATAATTGTATGATTTTTTATTTTATTTTGCTGACTATTTTTAATTATAAATTTGCTTTCAATATATTTTATATCTTAAACAGCAATACAAATCTTCCTATAATGAGACATGCATACAGTAGTACTTTTCAAAAACTGCATCATGCATAAATAACGGCATCATATTTTTAATTTACAACAACTCAACATACTGCAGTACTTGTGGACGATTAGATGTATTATAATTGTGTAATTTTTTTCTACATTATTATAGCCTCTACTCTGGTGTCTTCGGGGCATTTTTTTGATTCAGCAGCATGGACTGGACTCGCTAAGATCTTCTTTCGGTCTCTGCGGACACTTATCGTACAACAATTAGTTTGCCAACGTTTGCAAAGTTCATGACAGAATCTTTGAAATATATTCATGAGTTTTTGAGACCTTTTGGATCAACGCTCACATTGCTTTTCACAACATTTCACTAGGAACGCAGAAGCATTCTGTGATGTAACCACTTTGCACAGTATTTTGTTGTTACTGTGCTAGTGTCATCAGTTTCAGATTTACTTGGCAGAATACAGAGTCAAAAGTTACATTCTTTGTAGCTTTTGTTAATATTTTAGTGCATATTTTCAGTTTCCTATTAGCTTTAATTCATTTGAAAACTTTTAAGTTTTAGTGAGCATATCATGCAACTATAACTTTGGTGTGTATGTATGAAAGCTTCTGTGGCTGAATCAGTTAGTTTGATAAAAACAAACCCAAACAGAAACTAATCGGAAGTGAACTGAACTGGACCTCTAAATCACTGTAATAGCAGCCTCACATGTGAATACGGCATGTGCTAGAAAAACCTCATTCCTATTGAAGAGGCTTTCGATCCTGAGCCGCACTCTCATGATGGAATGGAGCACCTTTAATTTGCTTTGTAATTGTATTCCTAAGTATGTGTGTATGTATGTGAGCTTCAGATCAATAAGCTGTTATGAGACTGAAGTTGAGACCCTGGTCTGCTTCGGGTCGATGTTGACTTGTAAGCACATTTCAGATTCAGACTGCCACACTGCCTTTGAGTAGATGAAGCATGACATAATGCAAGGATATAGTAAAAGAATACAGCAGAAAAATAATAAAGGTCATCTTTTTGTAAATTTTCTTTTTAAATAAATTAGTTCTGTTTTAATAAATCTTTATTAGCATCATATAATTATAAATATACTGGACTATAAACACTATGCTAGTGTATTAGATAGTACATGTTCTTGTTCAGTTACGTTTTCTCATGCAAAACTCAATGCCATGAAGTTTAGGGTGTTGTAGGTGGTTGCCAGGTTGTTGCTATGTGTTGCGAAGACATACACTTCTTAAAATAGCACATTTCTTAAAACAGCAAACTACGTGATATTCACCATGTAGTGAATAGTGAAGAGTTAATGCACCAGCGCATTTAGACACAGTATATGCATGAATGCTTTAAATGCCTCTTGTCGTTTATGTTCTCTCATGCATGTTTTGAGATGTTGTGATGGACATGAGCAGAGGCTAAATTTCCAGCTTTCCATTCTCTCTTTCCACACTGACAGTTACTCTATTAAGAAAGTCAGATCACTTGCAAAATAACAGCATAGATGGTCAAGATTTGAAAACCAAAATGTATGAACAAAGCATATGATATTCTGATACCTAAAGATGGCTTTTTGGAGTTTTTTTTTGCCCATTTCATCAATAACAATAGTGAATCAATCAGTGGTAATAGCGAGTGTAGCACCACTAATTATATATGTGTGAATTTTTTTTTTTTTCTTCATTTTTTTCAGTTAAAATCCCAACCCGAAGGACCTACATTGACCCAGAAACCTGTGAAGATTTGCTCCAGGCTGTTCATGCCTTTGCCAAAGAGCTGGACATCGCTAGCATCAAGATCGAGAGGATAGTCCATACAGGTACCAGACATCAAAACCTCCTTAATTTTCCCACTATCCTGCAAATTCATTTTATTTTTGTGACAGTTTTATAGTTTTTCAATGCTGTGTGTTAAGATCTATGAAAACTAGTCATTAGCTCACATCAGAAATAAAGGCTTTATTGTCATTTACTGACTTTCATGTTGTGTTCAAACACACATGACTTTATTGTCTTCTTTGGAAGACAACATTTACTGCTAATTTTTTCCATAAAATTCCAAAGAATGAGGACAGGAGCTTTCAAGATTAAAAAAGAAGCAAAAGCACAATAGGAGTATCATACATGTGGTACATATGTCATTTAAGTCGATATTTACATCAGGTTGAGTAGAATTTTCTTTTTCTTTTTTTTGCTGTGTGTCAAGATCTATGTAAACTAGGCATTATGTTCATCTCAGAAATAAAGGTTCTGTCATCATTTACTGACTCTCCTGTTGTATCCAAACCCATTTGACTCGTATTTCTCTTCTTTGGAAAAAAATACAGCTAATGTTAATTACTGTCCATAAAATTGCAATGAATGAGGACAGGAGCTTTCAAACTTCAAAACAGGAAGCATAAGCACCATAAAAGTATCGTAAAGGTGGTTCATATGTCATTTAAGCTGTTATTCATGACATGAGGGCGAGTAAATGGTGTCAGATTTTTCATTTTGGGTAACTGTTCCTTTAAATGATGAGTAATGTTCTCATTTATGCTATATTATGAGACACAATCAACATCAAGTGAACACTTTCCTTCTATAGGAGACTTTGGGGAAGTGTGTCGAGGTTGCCTGAAGCTTCCCAGCAAACGCGAGTTGCCTGTGGCCATAAAGACCCTTCGTGCGGGCTGCTCGGAAAAACAGAGACGCTCATTCCTCAGCGAGGCGGGAATTCTGGGACAGTTCGATCATGCCAACATTGTGCGTCTGGAGGGAGTCATCACCAGAGGTCAGTACAGACAAAGAGATGAATGGATGGCAAGGAAAAAAAGAGAGATGCATGGGACGTCCCTCTGTAGAAAATGAAAGCTGTAGGGCGATTGGGACAATTCCTCACAGGATAGGGAAAGACAAAGAACGAGAGGAATTAGGGATTTGATGGCCCTCACCTGAAAGAGATTCAGGAGGCAGAATAGATGGTATGTCCCTTTGAAAAAGAAAGAAGGAGGGATGAGCCAGCTGTCCCACTGCAGTAATGGAAAAGAGAATAAGCCATTGATTGGACGCTTTATTGGGAAGTGGACCCCTGAATAAATGGGCCGGTCCTCAAAAGCGCAAGAACTGAAAGGGAGGCAAAGGTCGATACTTGCAGGATGGATGATTATCAGAGGTAAAAGATCAAAGACAATGAGGAGCTGTAGATGTTATCACCTCCAGGAAGGACAGAACGAGGAGAATCCAGCTTAAATGAAACTGGTAACTCTCAGTCAACAAGCGTGATGGAAGAAAACTTGGCTCGGGGTGGAGATGTACGGCGAGAGAAGAACAGATCCATCTTTAGATTGATCGATGTGATGTTCCTGGAGATAAAACAGCTAGATGGATTTGCCTAGCGTGTTCTTGCCGAAAGGGATGAGGGATGATGAAGGTGTTTTGGAGACAGGGAAGACCAGAGGGGAAGCTAGATTTGCTGAATTAAAGAACTAGCAGTGCTGATATTAGCCTGGGACTTTGTGTATTAGCGCTGAAGGAATTATGAACATTGATTCTACATGTAGAGAATGATAGAAATGCATGCATGAAGAGACACATTAAGTGTGCTGGATATTGTGTATGTTAGAGAAGTGGTCCTCAACTAGTTTTGCTTCAGGACCCAGAATTTCAAGTGCCAACACAATACAGTACCAAATAGTTGCAAATAAAAAAAAGAGGTTTTAAATTCAAATATAGAAATGTATTATTATCATGAACTAAATAACTGTAAAAACAACAGCAGAAGTGTGAATCTCAGTCTTTGTTACAGTGCATAATAACAAATCATCCATTACTGTTATTCTTCATTCTTTTGCCATCAATATCATTGCATTTTCTTAAAAAAAAAGGCATTATTCACTTTTGCAACATTCTGTAATTTCGCAACTCTTAAGTCTACTTCTAAAGTCAAAACTAAAGTGGAAATTTAGTTTTCAGTGACAACTTTTTTCTTTTTATCTTACCCAAAAAATTAAACGTGCGTTTTTGATACTGTACCTTTAAAACTACACTGCTGTTCAAAGGTTTGGGGTCAGTAAGATTTTTGCTCACCAAGGCTGCATTTTTTTGTTCAAAAATACTGGATAACAATAATATTGTGAAATATTATTACAACTTAAAATAACTGCTTTTTATTTGAATATATTTTAAAATGTAATTCATTGCTGTGGTGGCAAATCTGAATTTTTAGCAGCCATTACTCCAGTCTCAATCATTCTAATATGCTGATTTGCGATTCTTTGATGAATAGAAATTTTAAAAGAACAGCCTTTATTTGAAATGTAAATCTTTTGTAACATTATAAATGTCTTTACTGTTACTTTTTGCCCCCAAACTATTGAACGGTAGTGTACTGCGTAGTAATTCACCCATTTTTGCCACTTAGGTGTTCATAAATGATCTGACTCTGAGTGGTCTGGTGAGCTTTGAATTATGAAAGGTAGTGTATGTCTATATAGTACATAAAACTCTTATTTGAATAAAGTAAGAGAAAATCTCCATTTAAATGTTCAGCTATTTAAATTTATATTGTGATTCGTTAACAAAGCATAATTGGTTCTTGTTTTAATTGTTGTTTTAAATGAAGAGTAAGAGACCATTTATTCAGTGGTATTTTGGAGAGAAGAATGAATTGGGATTGAATTAGCCTAAGTGTGTGTGTGCAGTGAGCGCAACAGCAGATGTTCACGTTGGAATAATTGGTGGCCAAATCACAGCAAGCCCCCTTAATGACTCTAATCTTTCTCCTTGACTTCTCCTCCTCCACCTGCAAATCTCCGTTTTCCTCCTGAAAGCTACACACCCTCCTCTTCACCCACCTGTCAGACCTCCACACCACAGGTGGGAAGGACCCAGAGCTGAGAGCCCAGTAGGAGGTCTTCTGATTGGGGTTGGTCAGGCATGTCTGCTCCTTCCCACAGGAGGTGTGATGGAGCTGGGGACGATAGATTGACCAGACTGATAGCGCAGCCTCCTGTTCATTGGGCTGGTCATTGAATTCTGCAGATTGTTGGTGTCGGTGTACGTGATTGAGGGATCTGTCTCTCTCACTTCCCACCTCTCTTCCTTGCTCTCTCTTTTGCTCTAACACCTGGGGATTTACCACTACCCACCTCCCTAATGGAGCGTACTTCCCTCGTCTTTCTTTGGGCCGCATTCTATCACTCACTGTCTAATGCTCACTGGAAATAAAGACACGACAGATATAATTGGTCTGTTGCAGTTTCTTATCTAAAACTATCTATCATATTTTCTCTCATTCCACTGTTCTATCTATCTACAGTGACTTGCTGACAGCATGTAATCTCTTACATAACACTCACACTTTTATGAAAACGTGTTGTTTGTGCCCCTTGGACAACCCCACCATGTCTTCTTTCCCGCTGAAGCATTAAACAAACACATGATCCAATTTTTTCTTCATATGTGTGTTGTTTTTTTTTTTGCTGCAGGCAACACTATAATGATCGTAGTGGAGAGCATGGCCAACGGAGCCCTGGACTTTTTCCTGCGGGTAAGAGAATGTATTTTTTGTGTCTGTTTGTTCTGCTGAGTCATCAGATGCAAAATGCTGAGATAGTGCAGTAAATGGTATATATGAAATATTTGCATTACAAAACCTGCAGATGTGATTTGTTGATAAAAAGAGAAAATGAGAGGAAAAAGCCAAGTGAGGCGTTTTATCTTGTCTCAGAGTCAGATGAAGTAAAATTCTTGAAAGGAAGTGATATGATTTGTTCCAAGTTTTTATAAGTATTTTAGTGTTTATATTCTAAACTGTTGTTTTCCTCCCTTTTTCCTTTCCATTTCCAATTCCCTTTACCTTTTTTCTTTCCTTACCCCTACCTTCTTTTCCTTGTTCCTTATCTTTTCCGTTTTTCAATTTCTTTTTCTTCCTTCTCCATTATGTTCCTTTCCTTACTTTACATTTTCCATTTTTCTTTCCTTTTTCCTTCTTTATTTTTCTATTACATTTTTTTTCTTTTTCAATTTTCAATTTTCCTTTTCCCCCTCTCCATTGTATGTTCCTTTTACTTTACCCTTTTCTTTTCTTCTGCAATGCCTTTTTCTTTCCCTTTTTCCCTTTCTGTCTACTTCAATGTCCTTTATTTTCCTCTTGTCCACCTTTTTGCCATTCCTTCCTTTCGTTCTCTCTTTTTCTCCCTCTTTTTTCTGCATAGAAACACGAAGGTCAGTTGACTGTTCTTCAGCTGGTGGATTTGCTGAGCGGAGTGGCGTCTGGGATGAAGTATCTGACAGAGATGGGTTTTATCCATCGCCGACTGGCCGCTCATAAAGTCCTGGTGAACAGCAGCCTGGTCTGCAAAGTGTCAGGCTTCAGACCTCTTCAGGACGACAAGATAGAGGCGGTCTACAGCACACTAGTGAGTATTTTACCATAATGCAACACAGCACTCTCAAACACTTCTGAATGAGTTCAAAGAGCCAATGGTTGTCAGCATTTCTCTAAAAGTCAAAGCACAGCTCTTATCTAGTTTATCAAACTTTCATGCATTTTTTTTTTCTTGCAAGTACTCTGAATGTGCGGCGTATTTTAAGAACGCCTCAGTACTTCATGCTTCTGTTATGATAAGATGAACACGGAAGTCAGGATACAGTATGGCACAATACGCCTGTCTTTCACCAACACAATACACTCACATCGTGACACTTTTTTGTGTTTGCCGAGGATGTGTTCCTGAATCAACATTTAATCAACTTTTTTTTTCTTTCCTTTCCTGTCCTTTTCCTTTGTTTGTTTTCCTCTCTTATGTCCTTTCCTTTACAATTTTCCTTTTCTTTATTTTTACATTGTTGCGCTAGAAATCTGTCAAGCTGATTTGTGCCATTTCTGCGCCTTTAGTATGTTTGTTTCAACAACAAAAAAATAGTTTTTTCCAGGAACAAGTCCTATTAGCAAAATCACAGTCACTGTTGTAGCTCGTTTCTCTGGGCTGGTAATTGAAAGGTTGTAGGTTCAAACTCTGCAAAGAGCAATTCATGAAGCCTTGAGCAAGTCACTTAACCTCAGGTTGCTTCAGTGGAGATTGTCTCTGTAGTTAGTGTACTGTAAATCAGATAAAACCTTCTTCTCAATGACCACTTACTAATTAGTAGTAGTAACCGTAAAGACTGAGCACAATTGTGTCAATTTGTTAGACATAACAGGGTCTGTCTTTCTTTCAGCACGGAGGGAAGAGTTTGGTGTTGTGGATGGCCCCAGAAGCCATTCAGTACCATCGTTACAGCTCAGCTTCTGATGTGTGGAGCTTCGGTATCGTCATGTGGGAAGTCATGTCCTTCGGGGAGAGACCGTACTGGGACATGGGCAACCAAGACGTACGTCTGTCCCTTTATATTTCTTCTAATGTATCACCACCTGTGCAGTTCTGCATCGCTTTTTCTTCTGGTGTTTCTTTCTCAGACCTTTCCTCTCTGTATCTCTTGCTCTCTCTTTTGATCGGCTGCTTTTCCTCCTCCTTTAGATCTCCCTAAAAATCCTTTTACGTTTGTTTGTGATTTTAAATTCTTTTTCTCCCTCCCTCTCTCTCTCTCTCTCTTTCCTGCCTCTCTCTGTTGGTAGGATGGGATTTTGAGGAGTTATGCATTTGTATAAAAATTTAAAAGTAGCTAAAGTGAGGGGCCTTTAAAGACCCCAGATAAAGTGTGTGTGTATATGTGCACTGACTTCAAGTCCACTTCAGCTCCGTGACCAATCAGACTCAGAAGTCACGCGGCGTGTGGCCTCCTTTTCACGCCTGCAGCAAAGATTTGAAATAAAAAAACTCTGAAATAAACCCCGACTGAAGGACATCACACTTTTTGGACCCCAGTAGTAATGTAGTCTCTAAAAATGTAAAGAAACTACATCATTTTGTTTTTATTTTTCATTTCTTTTAATCTGTAGCAAGACTTTAGAAATAGAATGGAATTCCAAAGACGCATTTTAAAATACACACTGGAATGAAAAGGATATTAGTATTGACACAAATTTTGTATTGGTCCATGCATAGTCCTTATTTTATTTTGATAATGTTTTTATGTGATAAGATATGACTATAAGGCCAAATCTGTTATGAGAGAAAACACACTATTAAGTCATTATGAATGAAAGAACCTCATTGTGTAAAGCTTTTCAGCAAACGAGGCCATCTTTCACTACAAATAGTGAAATGCTAAACCTTTTCCATGTTTATGGCTAAATTAATGATTGCTGGGGAATGGCATTAATGCATCTTTCATGTTATTTATTTGGTTTAAATATTGTTTGTGTTGTCATAAGTGACTTTTAAGTAGTACTTTTATTAAATTAAATGGTATTTAGGATTATCTAATAAAAAGAGGAGATCATAGAGGAATGCCAGTCAAGGACACATTTTGAAATACCTACTGAAATGAAATAATTTAATTTGCTAATTTGTCTCCGAAATGTCATTATTAGTGTTGATTGCTTTGAGATCACACAGAACGCTTCCTGGAAAAATTCATTAAAAATGCATCAGTGAGATGTGTATACAATGGGGTCCAAAAGCCTGAGTTCACAAACTGGAAATAAACAGAATTTTGAAATAAATAAATGTTACAATGTAAGATTCGGCATTATTTATGGGTCAGTAATCAATATATTCCATTACTCCAAATAGTCAATATTCAATAATTATGTTTTTGTGTTATTACAGGTAATAAAAGCTATAGAGGATGGGTTCCGGTTACCTGCTCCCGTGAACTGCCCGCCGTCTCTGCACCAGCTCATGCTGGATTGCTGGCAGAAGGAGAGGACCGAGAGACCCACCTTCACCCTGATCCACAGCGCTCTCAGCAAGACCATGAGGAGCCCGGACAACATCGGGTCCTCCACCCTGGGACGCAGGTACTGGAAAGCTTCTCATGGTTCCCATCTCCTTGCAAATCATCCCGTTTCCACTTTCCCAGTAAGTGTTTGTTTTTCACTCTGAAGACGGAAATCTCTTTCTGTGTTTGTCCAGGACCCTGGGCTCATCTGTATCACTAGCAGAACGAACGCTTCCCTCCTTCCCTTCATTTAGTTCAGTTGGAGAGTGGTTAGAAGCTGTAGACATGGGCCGCTACAAAGACAACTTCACTGCTGCTGGATACTGTTACCTGGAGTCAGTGGCTCGCATGACCGTTCAGTGAGTGACATTGAATTGAAGTCCTAAATAACGCTTTTCTCTTATTCAGTTTGTGTGTAACTTGCTCCGTTGTTTTTGCAGGGATGTGCTGAGTCTCGGCATCACCTCTCTGGAGCACCAGAAACAGATCCTGTCCGCCATCCAGACTCTCAGAGCGCAGGTTATCCAGATGCACGGCCGCGGAGTGCAAGTCTGACAGACCCACAGCAGTGCGCAGGCTTACCGAGGAAAGACATATGGATGTCTGTTCTCATAATTACCCAGCAGGCCATTCAACGGTCAGGAGGTGATAACCAAGACACTGCAAATGGCGGTTTTCTTCCTAATCTTCCCTTTTTCATTCCTTTATCTTCTCTTTGGGTGAACACTGGTTCTTTTCTTCCACAAACAAGTTCTTGTTTTCTGAGGGGGACAATATCACAAGCAAGAGGATTCCTCTAGAATAACCTGCGTGCTGAGTTTGACCTGCTTTTCTTCCGCTGTTCATCAATGACATGAGCTCTGTCCCTTTTAGTAGGACTTTAAGGTGGTCGATGCCCTCCGTCACTGTCCCCGGAGAAGGACAGTTTGACTCTGACCGATCTCAGAGCAATCAAAAGGGCGACATGTATTTTCTTTTTCCAAGCAAAAGAACTCATGCTTTGTAGCCACTGATCCTCCTATAAAGTGGACTAAACCGAGAGCATGTCATCCATTTGCTCCTCAGACTAGGAGAGCATTTTGCCGTATCTTCAGCACATAAGTTGAGTACTGATATAAGGAATCTTAAATAATATATAAATCCCTTTCTCTGTGTGTTTGGTTACTGTCTACTTTTTTCTTTTTGCTTTCTTTCCTCCACACTTTAAACTCATTTCTGAATTTCCGAGTTTAAATTAGTATTGTCGGACATCTGTAATCGTAATGTTTTTCTTGTCCTGTCTACTATAGGGACAATGTTTGCACTGCAGCGTCCATGATTTACAGAAACTTGTACCATATTTATTAGATGCTTTATTTATCTGTTTACAGATGCTTACTGGAGTTTGAATGCAGGAATATTGCTTGAAAATGGAAAACATAGCACTGAATCTGGACGTTCAGCTGTCATTTCATCAAAATGCTCTTCGATTTTGTTTGTGTAATTTAATTTTTTCCTGCACTTTGAAATTGAGTGAGTGAGTGGATGTAACAGGGATGTATACACGCATATACATTCACACACTTACAGATTTCATTACACTCCACAACAGCAGGTGTCTGATACTCTCGGACATGTTTAGTACTTGATGTTGGCGTTTCGTACAACGGAAGTGGTTGTTCTTAAATGAGAATGTTCTGAATGTTCTAGTCTTATTGAATTTAGACTACTGTGTGATGTGAGCGTGTGAACAAGACTTGGTTGGACTTGGATGTGTTTAAGCAGTATTGAGTAAAATCTTAATTTACAGTTTGATCATAGAAACAGGTTGGTGCAAATCTCATTAACAAAGGCTGTAACAAACAGTTTGGATCTGGATTTTGCCACAAATACATTTAGTACGAAACAAATGTCTGGATTTTTTTTTCCCTCATATTAGGTTGCTATTGATTTTTAGGATATAAACAATTAAAGCTTTTTGGAATTTAACGATAAGAGCATCATTTTCACTCTCTCTGTTTTACAATTACACATACAGAGATGCACATTCGTTATTATTGCAGCCATATCATATCTGAACGTGGCATAACCCGAATTAATAATCACTTCAAAATCTAAAGGACAAAGACATGCTATACTGTAATGTTTAACAGCCCTTTACCGAAAAAGACTCAATTCCCCCTTTGCATTAAGTGTATCATTCTGATCTCTGTTTGATACTGTAAATATGTATTTGAAAATGCAATCTATTTTTATAATTTGTTTGAATAATAATGTGTTGAATGAGATCCTCTCACTGTGTTGAAATGACTTATTGTTTGAATTAGGCGAGTCGCGAAGAAAAGTTGTTTGAAATCAAGTCCTTTTTTGTTTTATTTTTCTCTTTTCGGTTGGAATTTTTCATGATTTTTACCTGTTAGAAGAACAGATGGCTGTAGCAATATTGAAACATGTTATTAAAAAAAATACAATACAGGTACCTTAGACTTTATTGTGTTTGCTCGCGGTGTCCTGGCTTCCAGCATACCTGCCTGAATTCATACACACATGGAGTCTATTTTAATCATGTGTAATCAATGTCGAGGCATGGCAATCAAGCATTTCCCGTCAGCTTTCAACCCCCGGAAAAACAGCGGGAAGCAAAAAGGTGTTCGTTGTTCTGTATTTTTATCTAAAGGTTTCTTTTTAATAAATTATTTTCTTTCCAGCTAGATAATTTTTATAAAATTACACCAGAATATTTAACATTTCATGTTATGTCTTTCCCACTGTTTTATGTACAGTATCTAATCCTGATTCTTTTGTTAGATATTAAGTTGTCATTCATTCCAAGAGATTTAAAGATGTCTATGAGCTTTAGTGGATCCAAGTGCTCATTTATATCAGTAATAATTCGAAGGGTTTCTCTCCTTTCACGTATCTTAGTACTAAAAAATCCCTTGGAGATAATAATTGGGGAGAACTGAAAGTGTGAAGAGGAAGAAATGCATTGTGTGGAAGAAAATACACCAGCTAATACTTCAGCTCCCAGCAGTGGGAAAGCAAGGCACAAGTGTGTGTGTGTGTGTGTGTGTGTGTGTGTGTGTGTGTGTGTGTGTGTGTGTGTAGGGGAGTGTTTACATGTTTTTGTGTTCAGATTAAAAGACTCTTCAGTAAGAAGCAAGAAGGGTCCAACTCTAAGCCGGTGTGAAGGGGAAAGTTTTCAAATACAAAAGTTTGATCCAAGCAGTTAGAGTGCCAGGCCTCAAATCGGATTTGGTAAATTAATCCGGATCGGGAGCAAGTGTGAACAAACAAAGTGGAGTGGGGCTTGATCTAGCCTCTCTCCGGGAGTATTTCGCCTCTTGAGGTCCAAACACCACTCTATAAACTGAGTTCAGTTCATTCACTGAGGATAGAGACGTCAAAGCTGTGTGAGTGTATTTAAGTGACAAACAGTGAGTTCTGTTCTGAGGAGGGCCACATGAAAGGAGCAGATGAACAGTGTGTTCTGGAATTCCTGCTGGGCTTTTAGTGGCTTTAAAGTGAACCGTGATTAAATGCTCTAGGAGGCTAAAACGCTAAAAACCAATCATTATTATGCATTAATTTTTGATTGACGTGCTTGAAGTAAACAGACATGTTCTTGTGTGTATTTATGTAGCCTATACACATACAAATTATATATAGGCCTACTATATATATATATATATATATGTGTGTGTGTGTGTGTGTGTGTGTGTGTGTGTGTGTGTGTGTGTGTGTGTGTGTCTGTGTGTGTGTGTATAAGTGGCTTTTTCAATGTTACATTGATACGCCAGTATCGGTGTAAGTTACTGTCTTAAGTTGTAATCAAATCGATTTGATCATTAACAAAATTTTTCAAAACACTGATTCAATAACATTTCTGAATTAGCCTATAGAAAACACCATTACTATTTCCACTTGTGTCAAAAATAGTAAATATGCTCCTCGGGCATCGCTAGACCCTTTTTACTGGTGCATGATCCCCAGTAAAATATTCTTGATAAATCCTTAGATTTAATAACGTTTCATGTTTTTTTTTGTTTTTTTTATCAGCCGTTTAGAATCACAACAGTGATGCCAGATTCACGAATGAATCACTCTTCACGGTCAAACGGATTTGCAAAAAGGTCTGAAATATTAGGACAGTTCACTCACCCACTGGATCGTTTGAGCGGTTTCTCACACCGAAATACGGGATATTTTATAAGACTGAAAACAAAAAAAGCGCTGGACGAAGTGGATATTTACCTACAATCCACTGTAGAAAACAAAACTTGCAAGTGTCTTCTATAATTCAAAGTTTATCAACCATGAATCTCTTTTCCGTGGGCAGCACGTTAACGACTCTGCACTGCAGGCAAAGATAGGCCTATCCAAAACATTACATAATATTATTATTAAAAAAATATTTAAATTTTAAATTAAAATATGGAACACTTTTTGCTGGTGGCCTGGTCACTCATTACTGATGAAACTAGACGCAGTTCTGAAATCAGCCACTTTCTTCATGAATGAGTATGTGAATTATTGAATCGATTGGCTCGGCGCGCGGAAGGTTACATCTCCTGTGACGTCGTTTGAAAGTAGACAAAAGCTAGGCTATATTTTTTTCAACATTAACATTTCTTGTTTATTAAACTGTTGTGTAAACGCTGCATAACACTAGCAATGTTGCTGTTATGCATACTTGTGTAGAAAATAACAGCTTACTCGACTTCAAAGTCTCCAGAAGGATCTCGAATCTTCAGCTTTTAGCTCGCCGAGACTTGTTTGAATCATCACGTGTGGGGTCCACAGTTCAAATTCTCCGCTCCGTTGAAAGCCCGTCACGCGTCATCTGATTAATTCTCGGGTTTTGGCCAAGCCCAGATTAAACTTTCTGTGACCACAGTTGAACACAAGTAGATCCCGCTTTTGATTTTCGATTTCTTTTCATGCCTCCTCATTTCGGGTCTCCAACTAGGTCAGGCTTTACACTACAGTATCCAAGTATCCAATGTAGTTACAAAAGCACTGCGCACTAGTAATGAATAGCACGCTCTTGGTATGTAATTATGTAATGGAACAGTCTATAATTACACACCGTTATCGCTATTGTAATTATGTTAATGTGCAATATGAACAATGCAATGTGAAGTGTTTTCTGCATTACCCTGTATTTTCTCTCCAGTATTTATTTATTTTTTTTAACATTTCCACTATAAACAGCGAATCCAGAGGATCAAATCTGAACTGATCTCAGGTCAGCTCTGCTAGTAATGACAGACTAAACCTTCAAACTGTCTGTGATAGGCCTATTTCCTGCAGTAATTAAAGAGGTCAGAGATAACTTCACTTTACTGAGCTATTTCTGCAATTACTTTTAATCGATCGTTCTCAAGCTCATTTTTAGTCAAAATGAAGCAATTTCCCATCAAGTTCACACAGGTTAACGTTTGACAACCAGAAAGTGACCAAATACTATCTCTGTAATATTTTCAGAACAACCATAGTAACACCTATATAGGTATATATATGTACAACCTTGTTTTGTTGTTGTTGTAGTTGTTGTTTTGTTTCGTCAGTTACCACAATTTAACCGTGGCATATCATATCATTTATATAGCAAATTATATTGTCAACATTAAGCCATGGTGTAGCTACTACAACCATTTTATAATTTTGTGGTATTTGTAGTGAATACTACAAATTTAACATAGGTTTTAATACAGTAAGTATAGTTTATGGTCTTTGCATTTCAACCATATTAATAATAAAGCAAAATCATAATCATAACTGGTTATAATTGTCATAACTGGTTCTGCTACAAACTGTTACTACAGTTGTGATTACAGCAGTTTCACTATAGTAAATGTTTAAACAATGGTTATCTGTCTTAAGGAGAGCCGGCCTGGGACAGTTCCCTGTTGTCCACCCTGGCCTGTATGTGCAATGGAGGGGCTGTTGTAGTCCTTTACTGCCCCTTAGTGTATATTTGAGATATTGCAAAACATTGAACAGCTGTAATTCAAAAATGAATCGATCGATCAGAAAATCAGTTGTTTATTTTAATAAAAACCATGCTTTAATGATCATTGCTCTGCTGAAACAAAAGTAAAAATCAAGTTGCTACAAAAAAATCAGTTCAGTACCTTCCATGTTTTATATCTCCATTCACTTACTCCCTAAATGCCCTTCTCCTCTCTCAGTCCCTGCATAAAGACAGCCAAATATCTTTAGAAATCACTAGATAATTTGTGCTCTTTTCCTTAAATTGCTAATTCTGTTTACTGCATCTCTCTCTTTCTCTCTCATTCCCTCCAGCTGAGTTTCAGTGTCTGAGCTATAAAGGAGAAGATGTGTGTGTCCTCCAGGATGGCTTTAGCGGTGGGTTTCCCGGCTCCATGTCCACTGCATGTGTCCACTCTGACCAGCAGCAGCTGGGTTTGCCCGGGGCTGCGGCCTACGCCATGCTGGAGAGTGGCCA